TGGGTCATTTATTTTGGCTAACAACAAAGCACAGACAGCCTGCTGCATTATTGGTAACTAGAAGGTATGTATGAGTATGTAGCAAAAAAAAGGCTGCAAAGCGTTAACGAGACTATGCCTCAGCTTGAAATTGTGTTGTTAATTTTGTGTATTCTTTCATCACTCGTTGGTTGTTGCTGCTGTTGTTTTTGTTAATAGCCTTGTTTGCTGTTGTTTGTTGCTGCATGTTGTTAACAATGTTTTATTTTTCCGCCCTCCCTCTCTCTCACTCTCTTTCATGCTCTTCCACAACATTTTCGTATTATGGTTGTTGTTGTTGTCGCGGCAAGTGTGGCGCCAAGGCCCCACACGTTATTATTAATTTGTAAATTGCCTGTTGCGGCTGAAATTGCTCAACTGCCCATCCTTTAGCTGCGTTCGCATGCGCGCTCTCCCTTTCCTACATCTTTACTTACTCCACAGATACTCGTATATACATAAATATGTAGATAGTGGAAGATGCAGTTAAAGATACTCGTATATTCAAAAGCCAATTTGCTGATTATTTCAATGCACCTGACCGATCTGGCGTGGAGATCAAGCGTAGGATAAGAGAAACTAAGCAGCAACGAATTAGGGAGAGGGAAGCCTATCAAATTATGTGTGTATTTATTTACTGTTAATTGAATTAAATTTATTTTAATGAGCATGGTAAATATTAATTGGGAGAACATTAATTAGATATTTTTTTTAATTTGAATATAAAAAATTAGGGGCGTGATAGCATTTTCATTGCTCATAATCTAATGGTGATTATTTCTTAAAATTCTAGAGCGGCTCATCGAGGAATATATTCGACGGAATATAAAAAATGACAACCTCTCCTCGAATGAGAATGCATATTCCAAGGGAAGATCCGTGGAAACAGCACTTCACGAAATCGTATCGACGATTGGAAAAGGATTGGCCATAAAGGAATACACGCTCGGAGTTTTTCGCGATATCGAGGGTGCTTTCAACAACGTCTACTCGAAGTCTGTTGTTAACGCTCTCCTTTTGGCGGGGGTACAGCAAGGTCTGGTGGATTTTTTGGGCTCCTTCTCGAAAAGAGAACTATTCTATCGGATCTGGGGGATGGTTCAATTAAAAAGTATGTGACCAGAGGCAGTTACCAATCTAAACGTTAACGCCCTACTTCTGAGCCCAAAAGGCACCGGTTGTCAAGTCATAGCGTACGCTGATGACATAGCAATCGTGGCAACAGGCAAACATCTACAACTCCCGAGTGAGTTATTGCAAAATGCACTCCGTCTGGCAAACATCTGGTCCAAGGAATGTGGACTTATTGTCACACAGAAATGGTACTTTCTACAGAAACGTATAAAACTCCTATATTTAAACCTCCCACTCTTAACGGGGTGGGACATACTCTCTCAAGCACCTTGGAGTTATTCTCGACAAAACACTGGACTGGAAGCGAAACATTGATGACCGCTCCAGGAAGGACAAACCGTCCTGTATGCCTGTACACTGGATGTACATAGCTGTGATAAAACCCATCTCTGGCCAGCGCTAAACAACACTTTGTCCAGAGCCAAGGAGGAATGAGTGCA